CACTTTCCTGTTTCTCTTTGTCTTTGCACAACCTTACCTCAGTTTGCTTCCCCAGCTTTACACGTATGTAACCAGCAAAATGCTTTTTTTTAAATTTAGGTTAAATACATGTATTTACTATGATCTAGTAATAAAGAGTACAGGTACTGTATATTCAAGTGCAACAAATTTATAACCAGTTTTAGCAGCTACTGTAAATATTAAAACATTAAAGATTGCATTTTCAACAGATTATGGCATGTACAAGAAAGGAAGGCTGAACAGACAGGGTATAGCCATGAATAAATTAGCTGTTCTGGCTAGTGTAAACCCAAGCACAATACTGTATAGTCTTACTTTTTAAAATGTTAAATGTACTTGCCCTGCATGTATTTTGATACACGGCATCTAGCCTATTTCGGAACAGCATATAAAAGTAATGTAATATGGTATGAAACTGGAGCAATACATACTGTACATACTGTTTGCTGTTCCCTTGTAGAAGGTCATTTCCTAATGCAGCGCTGACCCTGTGAATGCTGCTACAGTTATTTATGTGAATTCAGTTAATCCACAGCAACCTGGCACATCAGATGCACAGTAATATTATTCCCTCACACACTGTCCTAGCAGAGCTCAGAGCCCTGTCAAGAGGATAAAGATCCAGACACAGATGAAAACGGGAATACTACTGTGCGACAGAGCCAAGGGGTATGTATGCCTTTTAATTACTGACACAATAGAGTATTCATGTATAGTTAATAGACAGTTTAATCTAGAGTCTCTAAGGGTTTTTAAATAGTAACATCTGATTTTATTTATTTATTTCATTTCACAATCACAGGTCATATACTATGTGACTGGCCAGATTCACAAAGACCATCCATCCCTGTCAGGAAGAGAGGAAATCCCAGAACACAGGGAACCCACACAGTCTCCAACACAGGTGTCAAATGTCAATCTTAATGAGAATTCTCCAAGCCAGGAAAACCAGCAACCGCCACAGTCTCCATCACCCAAATCACCCACACTCGCAACACCTCCGCCGATATCACCTAAGCCTGTGGGACTGAATGGATTCAAACTGCCAAAGAAGCAAATGAAACGTTCCGAGTCCCTGAAGAGCAGTGCAGAAATGGAGAAGAGAAAATTCCTCAACAAAATTAACTTAGAAAAGAAAACTAAAATCATCCAGGAGCATGGTTCTTCTTCCAGTAAGAACAAAATACCCGGGCCTATAACAACCACAATAACTAGTACCATCAGAGAGGCACCAACAAGTTTTGTTGCACCACCTAAAAAGGCTTCTAGTGAGGACAGTGATCCACATAAAGCTATCTCTGAGGAGGATGATGAGGGGGGGGCTAGTCTTAGTCCTGACTTACCTGGAGAGGAGCCACCTCCACCTCCAGACAACATAGCTTTTATGATCACTAACACCAAGGTTCAGGCCCTGTCTTGTGGTGAGTACCGAGAACTGGTCAATGCTAAGAAGGGAAGTGTCCAGACAGTCACTGTAGGTGGTGCCGCAAACCAAGGGAGCAACCCAGCGGGTTCCATGGGGCCACTGGATAATGACTTCAACAAGAAGCCCGTTATCATCATTTTTGATGAGCCCATGGACATCCGTTCTGCTTACAAACGCCTGTCCACCATCTTTGAATCTGAGGAAGAACTGGAGAGGATGCTAGCTCAAGAGTGCATTGAGGAGGAAAGTGAGGAGTCGGACACAGAGCGAAGAGCTGGAGGGACTGAGATGGTTGATGGCAAAAAGGTAAATTCTTCACAGGGCACTACTGACCGTGGCAGCTTATCCTCCTCACCTTCATCTTCGATATCTGAATTAGCAGACAGTGGAATGAACTTGGAGTCAAACGGAGATGCTAAGCAGGACAGTAAGAAGAAATTCAAGTTTAAGTTCCCTAAGAAGCAGCTGGCAGCACTGACCAAGGCGATTCGCACAGGTACCAAATCAGGCAAGAAGACTCTGCAGGTTGTTGTGTATGAAGACGAGGAGGAATCGGATGGTACTGTCAAGCAACACAAAGAGGCAAAGAGATTTGAGATTGAGTGCTCAAAATCTTTAGGAGACACTCCTATGGAAATGGACACACCCACTCTGAAGCAGCAAAACTCAGACTCTCTCTGCAGGACCAATGAAATCCGGAAGAACACCTACAAGACACTGGACAGCCTAGAGCAGACCATCAAGCAGCTGGAGACCACTATCAGTGAGATGGGACCACCCTCTCTTGAGGACCCAGTCTCTACAGAGCAAGCTAAACATGGGAATGATAAAAGCTCAGAAGGAGCGGGGATAAAACGGTCTTCTTCTCTGCCTACCTCCAGAGGGTCAGCCTCTAAGGTCCCTGGCACAAATTCCTCACAGAAGAAGACTAAACCTCAGCTCCTTCCTCGCCCCCTAATCATCCCTCCTACCAGCACCGCCACCACTGTCCCCAGTGCCCCAAGCAACGTACAACAGGTCTCTCTCTAGCTCTTGCTGCTCTGGGAGTCTTTGGGTCCTTCCTTTTCAGTTTCCAACCTACCTTCACTCCAACTTTAACCACTTAAATGTTGAAATCATTAATCCACGGGTGCTTGGAAATGTTGGAAATGTCCCCCATGGCTTTCTCTCTTCGTGAAATCATGGTGACATGATTGGGGGTGGCATTTTGTTGGGTTTTCTCCTTCAGCTCATTGCTAAAACTGAGGTTTTCAGCAAGTGGAACACTCATCAAAGACACTCATGATGATTAAGCTCTGAAGTCTTTCTTATTCTTGACTGCATGTACCATGTATATTGATTTTAAGGTTTATGAACTCACTGGGTGCATGGCCTTTCACTGGTGTTGAATGCTGAAGTGTTGAATGAACAGGGATTTTTTTTTTTACCTTGCTAGTGCTTTGAGTTTTCATACTTCCTATATGGTGTCTGTTTTTTTCTTTCTTTTGTTTTATTTCTTGTTTTGTTTTTCATTTGGATCCCCTTGCAGAACACCAGTGTCGCTTCCCCTACTAGTCGGATGCCTGTCCCTTTGTCTGCGAAGTCCAGGCAGTCACCGGGTACTACTGACAAAGCAGGAAAACAGCAAAAACTGCAGGACGCTCAGAGGCAGTTCCGACAGGTAGTTTTACTGTAGGGCCTTACCAGAGACTAGAGGAAACAAACATATAGGGATCGAAAACATGAAGACATGTATTATAAGGGGGAAAAAGACTACAAAACTGTAAGATTTCAAGTGTTTTGAAAAAAATAAAGTCGTCATTTTGGCGATTGTGGATCTGTTAATGTTTCTTTTGAGTCTGCTCTGACAAGAAGGCATGTTTGACTTGACTGTTACCCCATAACATCACTGTACTGTATGCTTCTGCATGTCTACGCTGGTCATGGTTTTCACTGTGTTGGCAACTAAACAAAAAATGAAAATTTGCTAAATTGAATTACATCCTGTCATCTGAGTTGTCATCACATCTCCAATTCTCATCACAGCTGAGTTTCTAAACAGTGATGCCAAATCCCAGGATGCTTATGGCTATGTAAAAAATATAAACCTAACTGACTTTCCAGCCTGCTCCTCCCTTCTCACAGTGCACCTCTGCTCAATCCCAACAGAATAGCATCATAACCTCACAGTGATATGTTTCCTTACCCTCGAAACCTTGGCACAACTCACCATCTTGCAACATCAGTTTCAGTGGAGTACTTGCACACACTTCCCCTGTTTTTTCTCACTCTTCAGACTGCTAACCCTGTTATCTAATTCTCCCCCCCCCCATCATTGCCTTCTGCATTTGCCCTCAGAGCACCATGAAACCTAACAACTCCTCTAACCAACAGGCTGTCTGTAGAGCTGCCCCTCCTGTCTACCATCGAACTGTCTAAGCTTTGCAGTGTACTGATTCTTGGTAGCATGTCTCTCAGTTCAATGTGTCTCATATTTCATATAACCCAGTAAAAACAGTGTTTGTATATGTTGTTTTTGGAGTCTTTTAGTTGTGCCTTAGTAATATTAATGCCTGGGCAGTCACTGTGTTTTTGTATGTATAGCCTGTAGTTTAATTTAACATCATCTTGTCTTTTATATCTTTTATTTTACCAGGTTTCTGTTTTGACGACCAGTATTTGTTTTGGCATCTCTGTTTGCAGGCTAATGGAAGTGCTAAAAGAGTGGGAGGGGATCATAAAACTACTTCCCCTACCATACCCATCTCTAAAATCCCTGCTTTTTATCCTAGCTCTACTAAGGGCAGCTCTCAGTCTGCACAGAACTCAGATGCTACTAATCCAATTAACCCTTCCCCCTGCTCCTCTGTGACAAAGCCCTCCATCTTGTCCTCTTCTGCTCGTTCCAGTTCCCTACCCTCCTCCCATATCCCCTCCTTGTCTAACGGATCCCTCAAACTCCCCACACACTCACAGCACACAGGTAAAGCTCTCTCGTTCTCCTCGCAGACTCAGAATGGTCGAGTGCACTCCTCCTCCTCTTCATTCTCCTCCTCCTCATCCTCCTCCTCCTCCCCCTCCCCTCTGTCGCCCACACCTTTGGGCCCAGGTGGAAAGAGCATCCGCACCATACACACCCCCAGCTTCACCAGCTACAGGTCCCACAACGGCAGCAGTGGCAAATCCTGTATTCCAACAGTCACAGCAGCTAAGGACACTACTTAGCCCCATTATCGCCCCTCTGGCTTTGCTGCACGGCAGGTAGACTTGGTCATGTTTGATTTTATATTGTTTTAATTTGTTGCTTTTTTTCTGTTTCTGAAAGTTTTTGTTAAAGTATTAAGTGATGCACTCCCCCTTATTCATGTTTTATTTGACATTGGCATTCTCACACCGATACTTTTATCTCCTTTGACTTGCATTTTTAATCATTTAATCAATTTTTATTCATATTTACTTTTTATTTACACATCTTAAGGTGTGTTTCAGATGTTCTGACAAGATAGTTTGTAATGGATGTAAAAACTCTTTAGTTTCACCACTTTGTAATTGAGGTGGAAGGCTCTCATGGTGTTATTTCTTGCTGTAATTATAAACACGGAATACAGAGTTGATGTACAATCACAAAGTACCACTTACAAGTTTTTAAACATTTTATTTTTCAAACCAGAGATTGAAATAACCACAGTATATTTAGTCTTCTAAATTTTTATTTTGCTAGACATTCAACGCAGCCCTTGAAAATTCCTTTTATGAAATATATATGTTTGCAGTTTGCATTTAATTTCATGTGCCTCTTTGCCAATGCTCTTGTACAATAACTCACTTCAGGCCTGATGCAGACACAAGATTTGGGGAAGTTACCTGCACTCTCTTCATGTGGTGGCTGAAGTGTTGACCTCAGTGTTTTACTGCTGGTCGTAATTTGTTAAGTTAATATGTATTGTTGTCTAAATGTAAACTACTAAAAACAAAGTGAGGAATTAGTTTTACCACATGTACATAAAGGCTTATACTAAGAAAATAAGTAGTTTAGTTAACATACCAAAGTTTATTTGTATGCATGCCTTTCAGATACTTTGGGAGAGTGGTGCAAAAGAATTATGTTTGCACAGAGAGATTTTGTAAATATTTGGTTTTCTCTCCTTTGTAAAGCTTTAAACCATACTCTAATGGAACATTGTGGTAAAGACAAAACTGTGTTGGAGTGGCAAAAATAAAGACTTGCATGCTTGTAATGCATCAAGGTTTTTTTTTCTTCTGTTCTGTTTCCTGTTTCATTTTGTGTGAGTGTGTCTTATTTACATGTTTGATTAGGTTAAGGGGGAGCCTGTGTTTGCACATGTCTACGCATGTATAAATATGGAAGTGGAGATGTACAGCACAGAAAAGCTGTTCTCACTTCTACCTCGCTAGTCTCAAACTGACACACATTCGTTTTCCACCGTTACTAAAAAAAGGATAGACTTCTGCATTCTGTGCCTCTACGATTACAGGTAAGAATATGTTTTATGATTATTGACTCTGTCACATGTATGTACTGTGTGCCCTAAATTTACTCCTAAAATGTTCTGAATTACATGATGAACATCAGCAGTGTTTTAATATATCGCATTGGTTACAGCATTTAAACTAAAACCGATTTGTTTTAATAACTGCCACAGAGCCCTTCAAGTCATCTGTTGAATATCTTGTTTCTTCTTGTTTGAAATCAAATTTAAAGCCATTAATTTGGGGTTAAGTGTTGCCTTTAATTACAGTTAGAGCTTCCTGGTACCTCAACTAAATGTCATTTTAGCGCAGATGTTGCATACAATGAACTACAACAACCAATTGTTTTTATTAAAATACAAAGGTATTTCTATGTGTTCAAACATGCGCATTGTTAACATAATCTGCTTTTATGTGATTTGTGTTATTTGATTCTGGAAATGTTCTGATAAACGTTCTCTTTGATTTTATCTCGAATGTAGTTTATTAATAATTAAACTATTTTTACCCTCTTCCTGTTACAGTACAGTATTGCAGGGATACTTCCTGTTTCTAATAAGTCTCATTTGCACATGATGTTGCATGGGCTGATGGTTTCATTATGTACGTCATATTTTTGTCACACGGACACTTTGCAGATCAGTTTTGTTTTAACAGTGATGTGGTGAATCATTAAAATACCATATGACTGGGCTATCTGGACTGTCAAGCATCATAACAGGTCATTTTGTTATGTGCTGCACCAGGTTGATCAACTATGAACATTTCTGTGTGGGAGAGAGACGACTTCAATGGCACAGACTCCCTCCAAGAGAATGTGATCTTTGCTACATTTTACATCCTGATATTCGTCATTGCTGTGCCTGGGAATGCTTTAGCGCTATGGGCCTTTTTTCACCAGGATTGCACATCTCCAACGAAGGTCTTCCTGAGACACCTTTCTGTGGCAGACATCTCTTATGTTCTTCTACTACCCATGCGTATAATTTACCACCTGTTTAACAGCTACTGGCCCTTTGGACATGTCCTCTGTCCACTATCAGGCTTCCTCTTTTACCTAAACATGTACTGCAGCCTCTACTTAATGAGTTTCATCAGCCTGGACAGATTTCTGGCTGTGGTTCTACCTATAAAATCACAGTCAGTTAGAAAGGCTACATATGCAAAGGTAGTTGTGGGCATACTTTGGGTGACAGTTATTGTCTCTATGAGTCCTATACTTTTCTCTAAGAATGAGACCAAAAACTCAACTGGCAACTGCAACAAGCTGTACTTAGAAAACACATCCTCCAACGCTTTGGTTTCCACTATTGTGGCATTTGTTATTCCCCTCACCACTACAGTGGTTTGCTACATACTGATTCTGTGGAAACTAAGGACAGTCCAAAAACAGGAAGAACGACCAGTGATAGATAAAGCCATTAAAATGAGCATCCTCATTGTGATGAACTTCTTTTTTGCATTTGTACCCTACCATGTGAGCCGGGTAATCTATATAATTTACAGTGATGGTCATATGACTGAGTCACTGGCAAGAGCCAATCGGATCACATCTGCACTTACCTGTGTCAATGGTGTATTGGATCCTGTAATGTATTTCTTCCTGAACAGCGCATACAGGAAGAAACTGCTTCAGCTGTTCTGTAAAGATAGGGGAAATAACCAATAAGGAACAAATATCATGTTAACAATAAATGTTTTCAAAAAAATGTGTCATTTTTTGTTTTAAATCATGTTTAGAGTTTAGTTAGTTCAGACAGGAAAACCATGGGTAAATACAATAATGTGATCTCTACAAAGTAGAATTATAGATTAATCAAAGATGCTGTGCAGGTTTCTGTTTGCTCAGCATCCTCTTAAAATATTCTGAGTCATGTAGTTTGCCAGTGTTTGTTTCGAAAGCCATAGTTACAAAGATTATTCTGCCTGTTTATGACAACATAAACATTGTGGACAAAAACAAGTGAACATCTCTTGCAGCTTAAAAGTCTTGTGAAGCAGGGACATAATCATTTTCTTTCCACTTTTAGATCAGTAACATTTTGAGGTTAACATCCCTACCACCAAAACACTTCATTTTCTTACACAAATAGTGCAACACATTTAAATTCACCAAGTTTCTGAGCAAAAAAAATCACCAAAAATGCCCCATATATACATTTATTCCTATATGCCTGGACTGTCTGTCTATGCATAAATCTTGAATTTTCTTTTGGATTTTGGTAAAAGGTTAATAAACATCGCAGTTCCAAAAAAATTAGAATGTTCTGGCTATTTTTTTGATGTCAGTCTTTACAGGGTTAAGAAGGTTCCATACTGGAGCAAGTTGTCAATACAGTAATATATTATTCATTTGCACACTGTACTGTACATATGCAGATACTGTATTTTTATCTTTGCACTATTTACATCCATTGAACTGTTAACTCATGTAACTTATTTTCTTCTTATTCTGCACTGTCTCATTCCATTTCATCCCATTGCACTAGTGTTTTATAAGCTTACTGTACTTTATCCATTACTTGCAATTTAAATCCATAAAATCTGTTGTATATCTTACTGTAAATATCAATTGTGCATATCTATCAGTAAATTAGTACTGACTGTACATACTGTAGAAATCTGAAGTTGTTCATAACATGTTTTGTAAAAGTATAGTTCATAATTAATAATTAAAATATTCTAATGTGATTGTACTTCTTCCACTAAAACAAAGGGGAAAACATGAATTTATTGTTATTTATAGCTATGATGAGCTATGCTATGACTTTAGTATCCCATGGATACTGTAGATACTGCACACTCTGCACTGCTGTTATAACACTTCTGGTTAGATGCTAAACTGTATTTCATTGCCTTGTACTTGTACATGTATAATGACAAAGTTGAATCTAATCTAATGTAACAATCAACTATTCCAGTGCAAAGACAAAATCCTGCTATATGACTTATTCCAGTGCCCAACGAGACTCTTTAACATTTAATCCGTTCCTGAAGAAATTTCTCTGAATATTATGGATTCACATTTTAAGAGTAATTTAAACTATTTTATAAAAATATTGGATGAAACATTTAACTTCACTAAATAAATGTAATGGGGAAAATGTGACTGTAAGCTACTTGAAAACTTGGTGCCTTTCAGGAGCTAAAATAATGTCTAATATCCCAATTAAAATAACTATTGCTCTAACTATTATAGTCTATTATTTAAAACTCGACTGTTCACTGGCAGGAATTATCAGACTTTTAACCCTGAATACACCTGCTGGACGGGCTCTTTACAAGTGAAGTAATTTTGAGAATAGCCGACTTTATACCATTTTGACTTTTACCTATCTTGGCCGGTACGGGCACCCGTATCAACATGTTACCAAGGCAGCCAGGGAGAAGCTGACAAGGGAGCGGTGGGTGAGTGTATTGTGGTTTGTTTGACTTAGAGTCATATGTTTTCATCAAGACTCGTGGTTTTGGTTAATATTATCTCAAAGCTAAAATGTGACCAGAAATGACCGTTTCATTCTTTGAATCTTTACACCAGTAAATCTCGCGTCGAGCGTGTTACGTTAGTTAGCTAGCTTTTTGTTGCTGGATGCGCTCCTCTAAAATAACGGTCTTGTAATGTCACTTGTGCATAACTCAGTTAACTATACACTCGCTTGCAGGTTGTGATACACCACGCAGAAATGCCATGACAACTGTCTAAATGTTACGTAGATAAAAACTTATCTGAGTCACTGACGTTAAATACGTCCTGAGAGACATCTCACAGGAACAGCTATGGGCATTCGGAAAAAGGTTTATTCATTATTTTTACCCAACATCCTCTTAAATTTTGTATTCTGGGTAATGTGAGTGGTCAGTGCTTGTTTGGAGGACCTTATTAAGTTAGAAATACATCTCTGGCTAATCTGTGGGATATTTGTTAATTTAAAGAAAAGATTTTGTGTAAGTGGGTGCAAGGTTTATCTTGAACGTTAATTATGGTAAGCTAAATATTAAGGACAAAAATAAAATTAACTTCTGCATCATAGTACTTCAGACTCAGAACAGTTATCAAATGCAATGGCTTACATTTCAAATAGACTGAATAAGCCATGTTTATGAGCATACAGTATGTCTTGTCTGTATGCTTTGTGTGATTTTCTGTCCACTTTTTAATGGTTTTAATTAATTTTCTTTCCACTTTTAGATCACTACACCTTTTGATGAAGTACAAACTCCAACCCCCTCTTACAGACCACTTCATCTTGTTATCACCTATTCAAGTTCAAATTCAGCAAGCTATTTTTAATCAAAGTCTGACATAAAGGGTGACTTCCCTCTAAAATTGCCACAGTGTCTTGTTAATTGCAAGGCCTCATTACATACAACTCAAAAGCACTCCAACACAAAGACCCACAGCCTTATAAAATAGTACTGTGGGACAATTCATTGCCCTGTACATTACCTGCACATCTCTTAAAGGACTCCTTCAGAACGAAACTATGTGTATCCACAAAGGCTGAGTACTTCTTTAGCGCTTAGGCTGCCACCATGGGCACAGCATCCTCTTTGGTCAGCCCAGGAGAGGTGATTGAAGATGGATATGGGGGTGAAGGTGGAGAAGCCTGTGAGATTCCAGTGGAGGTGAAGCCCAAAGCTCGACTCCTGCGTAGTTCCTTTCGCAGAGGACCTCGGGTGATTGGGGCCAGTTTCAAATCCACAGGTTCTGTTGATCTAGAATATGCTGCGGAGTATGAAAGACTTCGTAAAGAGTATGAAATCTTCCGTGTCAGCAAGAATAATGAGATATCATCCATGCAAAAGAAAGAAGCCAAGCTGGATGAGGAGAACAAGAGGCTGAGAGCAGAGCTGCAGGTAAAATAAGATAACGGGAGACTACTAGGATTTAAGAGATTACTAGATTATCATAGCACAAGATTAGTAGTTTCAACATTTAAGGGTTGTGGCTTTTTAACAGTTTTTCTGATGGTGATTATAATTCTCAATGTGACAACAGGCTCTGCAGAAGACCTACCAGAAGATCCTTAGAGAAAAAGAGAGTGCTCTTGAGGCAAAGTACCAAGCTATGGAGAGGGCTGCCACTTTTGAACACGACAGGGACAAAGTAAAACGACAGTTTAAGGTAAATCACACCACATGTCTTCCTCTCATTCTTTCCAGTGATCATGATTGCATCCTCAACCCACTGGATTTTCAGATTTTCCGGGAGACAAAAGAAAAGGAGATTCAGGATCTACTGCGAGCCAAGAGGGACTTGGAGGCTAAAATGCAACAGTTGCAGTCTCAGGGCATCCAAGTTTATGGCTTGAATGATTCTGACTCAGATGACAACCAAACCACGGTTACTGGTAAGATGCAGAAATCCACAATGTTGGGGCCTCTTTCTTACTTGGCTTGATTCATCCATCTGTCAGTCTGTACAGCATTCTCACTACTGTTCAGGTGCTTAGCGAGACAAAAGCCAGTATGCTTTTTGTTATTTCTTAAGTATTCATTCTCTGTTAGAATACCACATATTTAGGGTCTTGTTTTATATGATTAGTTATTTTTTGAATATGGAATTAATGTATTCACTATATGTCTTTAGCTGCAGGGACACAGTGTGAGTACTGGACTGGTGGTGTTCTAGGAAGTGAGCCCTCTATGGGTAGCATGATGCAGTTGCAACAGACTTTCAGAGGGCCAGAGTTTGCCCACAGTTTGATAGATGTGGAGGGACCTTTTGCAAATGTTAGCAGAGGTAAGTAAATTTTATGAATATGGTAGAAACAAAAGAAGGAAGGCATTGTGATAATGGGCTGTATGTCAGTAGTAGCTAAACATGTTTGCTGTAGTGGCTGCTATGATCCTGGAGAAGTAATTATACTTTTTAAAAAATGTTCCCCTATATGACCTGCTTGTATAATACACGTATCTGTTTATATGTTTTACTTCCATTTTGTGTCTGTTTTTGTCAGATGATTGGGATGCTGCAGTGGCCACTTTGCTTCAGGTCTCCCCTCATGTGCCACAGGCCTTATGGAGTAACACAGTACGCTGCTACCTAATCTTTACCCAAGAGACCAAAGCTGAGCTGGATATCTTTAATAAGGTTGGCCACTGTAATTCATGAAAATGTAATTATTCTGTTTTCATGAGATATAATGGTGTTATGTTTTTACCTTATGGGTTTCTTTGACTGCATAAAGTAATACAGGCACAGGACTTAAGCAAGAATAGTTAAACTTGCATAGTAGTCTTCACTGAAATAATCAGTCTCTGTTGACTGGCCAGTATTAATCTGAAGCTAAACCTGCTCATAGAGGTTTATTTCAAGGCTGCATTTTGTCTTAGATTACCTTGAATCTATTTTAAAGACATTAGTTAGGTTCATTTAACACTAGCCTAAACTCTGAGAATACAAGAGAGTTGATCAGGTTGAAAATGACACTTTTGTTAAGAACTACCATTAACCCCCTGTCTGGAAAATCTGTGCTTTATGTCTGTATACTAGAAATACTCTCCAGTGTTACGGAAGATGTGTGAGGGTTTAGGCCATTTCTACCTGAATGTCTACTTCTCAGAGGAGAGTGCTGCCTCTTACACTGTGGAGCGCAAGCAGGAGATTGAAAGGAGCTCTGTGTGTGTTCTTCTTCTCAAATCTACTGTCACTAGGTACAGTAATTCCTATAGCCAATGTCACTAGGATATCCCCATGTAATGAAGATTGTACATTAATTTTAATGTTTATTTACAAATCTAAGTTTTTGCTTTGATATTTGCACAAAATGCATGTATATAGTTCTGTGGTAGAAGACTGTGAAGAGGCTTTTGTGAAGAACCCAGATGCCCATCCACTGGTGCTCTATCTCAGGACTGAAGAAGATCACAATTTGGCCGGACCCACAAGGCAATTGCTAGAAAGGATCAATGCTGCAGACAAGGCTGCTAAAGTCAAGGTGTGTGTGTGCACTATATTCTATGAAAAGGGCAACTTGCCTTTACAAAAGTCTATGGATGTGCATTGTATAAATGGTTATAATATTTAAAGTTGTTAGTATAGTTGTCTTCATTGCCCTTCTTGCAGAGTTGCACATATTATTATTATTATTAAT